AATCAAAAATTTCGACCCAGATTTTTCAAATTTTTCTGATGGAACCCCTTGCAAAATCTAGGATTTCCATTTTAGCCCCAAACCAAGTCCATATGTTGGCCAATTTCCATCCGATCCTTGGAAGGAATACCTTAAACGATTTGTAGTTCGATTCTCCTTCAATCTAAATCAAAGCCTTGAATCAAAAATTCCGACCCAGATTTTTCAAATATTTCTGATGGAACCACTTGCAAAATCCAGGATTTCCATTTTAGCCCCAAACCAAGTCCATATCTTGGCCAATTTCCATCCGATCCTTGGAAGGAATACCTTAAACGATTTGTAGTTCGATTCTTTATCAATCTAAATCAAAACCTTGAATCAAAAATTTCGACCCAGATTTTTCAAATTTTTCTGATGGAACCCCTTGCAAAATCCAGGATTTCCATTTTAGCCCCATACCAAGTCCATATCTTGGCCAATTTCCATCCGATCCTTGGAAGGAATACCTTAAACCAATCTAAATCAAAGCCTTGAATCAAAAATTCCGACCCAGATTTTTCAAATATTTCTGATGGAACCACTTGCAAAATCCAGGATTTCCATTTTAGCCCCAAACCAAGTCCATATCTTGGCCAATTTCCATCCGATCCTTGGAAGGAATACCTTAAACGATTTGTAGTTCGATTCTTTATCAATCTAAATCAAAACCTTGAATCAAAAATTTCGACCCAGATTTTTCAAATTTTTCTGATGGAACCCCTTGCAAAATCCAGGATTTCCATTTTAGCCCCAAACCAAGTCCATATGTTGGCCAATTTCCATCCGATCCTTGGAAGGAATACCTTAAACGATTTGTAGTTCGATTCTCCTTCAATCTAAATCAAAACCTTGAATCAAAAATTTCGACCCAGATTTTTCAAATTTTTCTGATGGAACCCCTTGCAAAATCCAGGATTTCCATTTTAGCCCCAAACCAAGTCCATATCTTGGCCAATTTCCATCCGATCCTTGGAAGGAATACCTTAAACCAATCTAAATCAAAGCCTTGAATCAAAAATTCCGACCCAGATTTTTCAAATATTTCTGATGGAACCACTTGCAAAATCCAGGATTTCCATTTTAGCCCCAAACCAAGTCCATATCTTGGCCAATTTCCATCCGATCCTTGGAAGGAATACCTTAAACGATTTGTAGTTCGATTCTTTATCAATCTAAATCAAAACCTTGAACCAAAAATTTCGACCCAGATTTTTCAAATTTTTCTGATGGAACCCCTTGCAAAATCTAGGATTTCCATTTTAGCCCCAAACCAAGTCCATATCTTGGCCAATTTCCATCCGATCCTTGGAAGGAATACCTTAAACGATTTGTAGTTCGATTCTTTATCAATCTAAATCAAAACCTTGAACAAAAAATTTCGACCCAGATTTTTCAAATTTTTCTGATGGAACCCCTTGCAAAATCCAGGATTTCCATTTTAGCCCCAAACCAAGTCCATATCTTGGCCAATTTCCATCCGATCCTTGGAAGGAATACCTTAAACGATTTGTAGTTCGATTCTTTATCAATCTAAATCAAAACCTTGAACCAAAAATTTCGACCCAGATTTTTCAAATTTTTCTGATGGAACCCCTTGCAAAATCTAGGATTTCCATTTTAGCCCCAAACCAAGTCCATATCTTGGCCAATTTCCATCCGATCCTTGGAAGGAATACCTTAAACGATTTGTAGTTCGATTCTTTATCAATCTAAATCAAAACCTTGAACAAAAAATTTCGACCCAGATTTTTCAAATTTTTCTGATGGAACCCCTTGCAAAATCCAGGATTTCCATTTTAGCCCCAAACCAAGTCCATATCTTGGCCAATTTCCATCCGATCCTTGGAAGGAATACCTTAAACGATTTGTAGTTCGATTCTCCTTCAATCTAAATCAAAACCTTGAATCAAAAACTTCGACCCAGATTTCTCAAATTTTTCTGATGGAACCCCTTGCAAAATCCAGGATTTCCATTTTAGCCCCAAACCAAGTCCATATCTTGGCCAATTTCCATCCGATCCTTGGAAGGAATACCTTAAACGATTTGTAGTTCGATTCTCCTTCAATCTAAATCAAAACGTTGAATCAAAAATTTCGACCCAGATTTTTCAAATTTTTCTGATGGAACCCCTTGCAAAATCCAGGATTTCCATTTTAACCCCAAACCAAGTCCATATCTTGGCCAATTTCCATCCGATCCTTGGAAGGAATACCTTAAACGATTTGTAGTTCGATTCTCCTTCAATCTAAATCAAAACTTTGAATCAAAAATTTCGACCCAGATTTTTTAAATTTTTCTGATGGAACCCCTTGCAAAATCCAGGATTTCCATTTTAGCCCCAAACCAAGTCCATATCTTGGCCAATTTCCATCCGATCCTTGGAAGGAATACCTTAAACGATTTGTAGTTCGATTCTCCTTCAATCTAAATCAAAACCTTGAATCAAAAATTTCGACCCAGATTTTTCAAATTTTTCTGATGGAACCCTTGCAAAATCCAGGATTTCCATTTTAGCCCCAAACCAAGTCCATATCTTGGCCAATTTCCATCCGATCCTTGGAAGGAATACCTTAAACGATTTGTAGTTCGATTCTCCTTCAATCTAAATCAAAACCTTGAATCAAAAATTTCGACCCAGATTTTTCAAATTTTTCTGATGGAACCCCTTGCAAAATCCAGGATTTCCATTTTAGCCCCAAACCAAGTCCATATCTTAGCCAATTTCTATCCGATCCTTGGAAGGAATACCTTAAACGATTTGTAGTTCGATTCTCCTTCAATCTAAATCAAAACTTTGAATCAAAAATTTCGACCCAGATTTCTCAAATTTTTCTGATGGAACCCCTTGCAAAATCCAGGATTTCCATTTTAGCCCCAAACCAAGTCCATATCTTGGCCAATTTCCATCCGATCCTTGGAAGGAATACCTTAAACGATTTGTAGTTCGATTCTCCTTCAATCTAAATCAAAACCTTGAATCAAAAATTTCGACCCAGATTTTTCAAATTTTTCTGATGGAACCCCTTGCAAAATCCAGGATTTCCATTTTAGCCCCAAACCAAGTCCATATCTTAGCCAATTTCCATCCGATCCTTGGAAGGAATACCTTAAACGATTTGTAGTTCGATTCTCCTTCAATCTAAATCAAAACCTTGAATCAAAAATTTCGACCCAGATTTTTCAAATTTTTCTGATGGAACCCTTGCAAAATCCAGGATTTCCATTTTAGCCCCAAACCAAGTCCATATCTTGGCCAATTTCCATCCGATCCTTGGAAGGAATACCTTAAACGATTTGTAGTTCGATTCTCCTTCAATCTAAATCAAAACCTTGAATCAAAAATTTCGACCCAGATTTTTCAAATTTTTCTGATGGAACCCCTTGCAAAATCCAGGATTTCCATTTTAGCCCCAAACCAAGTCCATATCTTAGCCAATTTCCATCCGATCCTTGGAAGGAATACCTTAAACGATTTGTAGTTCGATTCTCCTTCAATCTAAATCAAAACTTTGAATCAAAAATTTCGACCCAGATTTTTCAAATTTTTCTGATGGAACCCCTTGCAAAATCCAGGATTTCCATTTTAGCCCCAAACCAAGTCCATATCTTAGCCAATTTCCATCCGATCCTTGGAAGGAATACCTTAAACGATTTGTAGTTCGATTCTCCTTCAATCTAAATCAAAACCTTGAATCAAAAATTCCGACCCAGATTTTTCAAATATTTCTGATGGAACCACTTGCAAAATCCAGGATTTCCATTTTAGCCCCAAACCAAGTCCATATCTTGGCCAATTTCCATCCGATCCTTGGAAGGAATACCTTAAACGATTTGTAGTTCGATTCTTTATTAATCTAAATCAAAACCTTGAACCAAAAATTTCGACCCAGATTTTTCAAATTTTTCTGATGGAACCCCTTGCAAAATCTAGGATTTCCATTTTAGCCCCAAACCAAGTCCATATCTTGGCCAATTTCCATCCGATCCTTGGAAGGAATACCTTAAACGATTTGTAGTTCGATTTTCCTTCAATCAAAATCAAAACCTTAAATCAAAAATTTCGACCCAGATTTTTCAAATTTTTCTGATGGAACCCCTTGCAAAATCTAGGATTTCCATTTTAGCCCCAAACCAAGTCCACTTCTTGGCCAATTTCCATCCGATCCTTGGAAGGAATACCTTAAACGATTTGTAGTTCGATTCTTTATCAATCTAAATCAAAACCTTGAACAAAAAATTTCGACCCAGATTTTTCAAATTTTTCTGATGGAACCCCTTGCAAAATCCAGGATTTCCATTTTAGCCCCAAACCAAGTCCATATCTTGGCCAATTTCCATCCGATCCTTGGAAGGAATACCTTAAACGATTTGTAGTTCGATTCTCCTTCAATCTAAATCAAAACCTTGAATCAAAAATTTCGACCCAGATTTTTCAAATTTTTCTGATGGAACCCCTTGCAAAATCCAGGATTTCCATTTTAACCCCAAACCAAGTCCATATCTTGGCCAATTTCCATCCGATCCCTGGAAGGAATACCTTAAACGATTTGTAGTTCGATTCTCCTTCAATCTAAATCAAAACCTTGAATCAAAAATTTCGACCCAGATTTTTCAAATTTTTCTGATGGAACCCCTTGCAAAATCCAGGATTTCCATTTTAGCCCCAAACCAAGTCCATATCTTGGCCAATTTCCATCCGATCCTTGGAAGGAATACCTTAAACGATTTGTAGTTCGATTCTCCTTCAATCTAAATCAAAACGCTGAATCAAAAATTTCGACCCAGATTTTTCAAATTTTTCTGATGGAACCCCTTGCAAAATCCAGGATTTCCATTTTAGCCCCAAACCAAGTCCATATCTTGGCCAATTTCCATCCGATCCTTGGAAGGAATACCTTAAACGATTTGTAGTTCGATTCTCCTTCAATCTAAATCAAAACTTTGAGTCAAAAATTACGACCCCGATTTTTCAATTTTTTTTTGATTTTTCAACCTAGAAATTTCTGTCACACTCCATCACACATTTTAGGCATTTGAAATAACATCAAAAACAAGCTAACCATGTACATGTCATGTCCACAACCTGATATGCAGTGCTTGCGGTGCCTTCACTGCATGAAAAAGATCCATTGTTCCCGGTACGACTCAAACGGAATTATCCGCCACATTGAGGAGGATCATCCGGAAATAATGGAATTGGGCGGAGAGAAGATCAAGAATCTGCATAAGTTGGCAGCGGAGCATGGGATCAGTGAGGAGCGATTGTCCCAGATCAGCAAGATGACCGGCTTATCCGAATCGCAGATGGCCGATGAGGCTGAGAAATGTAAGAAAGTCCGCTACTAAATTCTTATCGCTCTTGGTTAATTGGATTCATTTCAGATATGGCCAAAAAGAAGGCTAGCTCTTCAGATAAAGCAAAGAAGGCAAACTCTTCAGAAACTGGAAAGAAGGCTAACTCTGCGACGTATAGTGTAACAGGAAGTGGGGACCCCAAGTCCGACGATCGCAGTCAGACCTCATTTAAGGAGATCTCTCCGGGCGCCGAGACTTCTGACCTTCCATTGGATAAGGTTCGCTTGAATCGCTACAAGACGACCATAAACCGATGGACACCGACGGATGGATTTATTTTCTGTCCAAGGTGCGGATGCTGTCGCCGGCCCCTAGTAAAGTCGTCCTCGGAGATGGTGAGCACCGGATGTTGTGTCGCCTGTATCGTGTCTTGCTGGCCCCTGTGCTTCCTACCATGCCTTCTTTCGCCGGACAACCGGGAGTACCTGTACTGCTCCAACTGTCGAGCTTTCCTTGGCCTCTACGATCGGGAGACTAATTGTGTTAAACCAAGTCGAGAGTTCGTATCCTGCGGAAAAGCGGCCACGCCCCCTCCTTCCGATAATTGCCCCAAGTAATGTTAGGAAACTCTTTATACTTTATTTAAATTATATGTGTGAATTAATGAGGAAAGCTTTCCTAAAGCTTTAGTGTAGTCGAGGCAAAAACCATTTGTTGATTGTACTTTGTAATAGTATGAAAATTAAATAAATTTACTAATATTTGGTATCAAAAGTATTACAGTTTTATTTAAGATTTATTTTTAAATATTTTACTGATGAACTGCGATTTGTGTTTCTGTTTTCTGCAAATCCTTGGCTGCCTTTTGGGCGCGTTTTCTTTCCCTTTCGGCCAAAATCTTCTCCCTGGACTTCTGGGCCCTTTCGGCACAATCCTTTGGTTTTTGTTTCAGTGTCATTTCATCAACAGCCGCCTGTCGACGGGCCGATTTTGAAATACATCTTTCCGAGCAATTTATGGAAACAAATCTTCCAATATAGCATCCGCAGTGTGAGCAATAGTGGTTAATATCCTGGCGGCCAGACCATTTTTTGCTAAAAAACAAAAAAAAACAAAATTACAAAATTATTGAGAAATGTTTGTAATTTTGAAAAAAAAAAACAAACCAAAGATTTGTGAGTTCTAAAAACTTTTGCAAACAGGTAACCGTCTCCAGTTGGATCACACTCATGCCAAACTTTTCACAGGAAGGACAATGGATCCAGGTGGACTCATCTTTCAGGTAACCGATCTGCTGTTTGTGGCTGACACTGATTGCCACAATTTGCGGCTCTTCAACGGTCATTGTGTTGTGAATTCTAAATCGTGACTGAAAGCGAAAACTAATTCAAGAGATCTTGGGTGGGAAAAATTATAGATCACTCTCTGACAGGTTCTCTTATTCTCTAGGGGAGTCTCCGCCTGGCTCTCCAGCTAATGCGAAAGAATTTAATTACGAAATTCCATTAGTACACAGAAAAAAATCCCAATACTTAAAAATTGACAGTACTTGGCATTTAATAATTTTTTTTTTTTATTTTTAATAAATATTAACTTTTGGCAACTTTAAGATTCTTCCATGTATCCAATTAATGACCCATTTTCTGAGACTTTTCACTGTGTGGTGATGTGGTTGTGATGATTCTCCGGCAGCCCATATGATGGTTTACAGCTGTGGGCGGCGGTAGACGCCCAGGTACTCCCCACAGGCACCACAGTGGTGCCGTTTGGTGCAAAAACTCCGCCACGATCGCACCACTCGGGTCTTGGCCTTCGCCTGGCAGTAGGGACAAGTAATTTCGTTTTTGCCAGGACCCACGGCAAAGTACAGGGCTTGGGGATTCTGGGCCATGTCGGAGCAGAAGATGTGGATCGATCAAGAGACAAACAAAGACTACGGCAACCAAAGAGAAATAAAGGCTATTAAATTGGCAAACATATTTAATCAAAAGAAGAGTATCAACCCGAGAGAGCTTCCAAGAGAGAATGCGATCATTTGAGGTTTTATTTTTATTTCAATGTTTTTTTTTCAGGTGGTGGGTGTATTTGGCGTTTTTGAAATATATAGATATATTTTTTATAAAATGAATAATTCTCTACTTTATTTCGAGAGGCTGTCTTCTCTTCATGGAGCGGCCAAAGTAACAGCCACAGTTGCCGCAATAATGGCTGCGATCGGTTTGCTTGCAGGGCATATAGTAGTCGAAGCAGAAGCAACAGCAGCAGGTCCTGAAACAAAGGATATTTAAAAATATTTTCCGGAAAGGGAATGCTTGAGAAACCTACACAAAAAGGCAGCCAACAATCCGGTTTATTTCTGAGGCCCACCACTTCAGATCGTTTTGGACGACACTCTTATCCTTGATGCCGCAGGCGGGGCACTTGATTTCCACCGCTTCATGGGGCAGGTTGAGGAAAGTGCCGGGCAGGGGCGTGGCAAAGTTGCTGTAGATCTTGCGGTCCTTTTTATCCTCCAATGCTTTGGCAGCCCGCTCCCGAGCCTGCTTCTCCAGCTCCTTTTCCTGTTCCGGCGTCGTCGTCATGATCCGATCCAACTGAAAGCGAAACTCGGAATGGCAAACAGACAACCTGTTTGGATTCTTGAAGAGACTACACTGGGTGGCCCCAAAAAAAGAGATACTAAGAGAGAAGTATCTATATCTCAAAGAGCCTCCCTACAATAGAGAGGGAATTGATTTACGGTATGTTTTTAATTTAATTAGATCCGTAATAGAATTATTTATCAGATACATTTTTTTTGGCATTAATATCATTTTAATTAGAATCTATTTGGCCTTGCGCTGGACTCCCACTTTGCCGCCGCACGAACTGCAGTAGATACCCTTGGTGGTCCACTCACGGTTGCATCCACACCAGGTGCACACACAGCAGATCCAGAAAAGAGGGAAGATGCTGCAAGATAGAAGTATCAAAAGTGGGTCAAGATATCTACCAAATCCAATCCCTACCAAGAAACCAAACTAAGACAGCAAGTGGCATCTTTCCAGCTGGCAGCCCTCATCACAGCTGCCTCACTCCGCTCCCGACAAAGTGGGCACAGTAACTTGTAGGTGGAAGGACCCACGGCATAGTACCGGATTCGTGGATGTTGGACAGTAGCAGTAGGGCCTGCTGCCTCCTGTGGCAGCAGTGTCACCTTTTCCGCCGCCTGCTCATCGATAAAGGGCACAGGCCCGTCCTCCAGCACTACATTCGCAATGATGTTCCTTGAACGATCCTCCGGCGTGTTGGCGGGCACCAACCTCACACGCAGTCTCTCTACCTGCTGCTCCATGGTATCTGATCTTTGTGATCTCCGCCAGAACTGATGGAGCCCCAACCAAGAGAGCTGCCAGAGTCAGAGCAGAGAGCTAAGAGAGTGGCCAATTGAGAACACAATGGCATGGGTTTGTGTTTGGCCATGGACCCATGATGTCATCGGCGGTTACTAATACAAATATTTTGGAAGCCCCTCAACCAGAACCAGATCAACAGCCAAACATTCTGCGAATATTTGTTTCTTCAATAAAAGTATAGAGACCACATTGAATGTGTTATAAAAAACACATTATTGCTTATTGGAAAAGTGCTGAAAGATATATATTTTAAATGTTTCTAGATATATTTTTCAATAAATAAATGTTTTGTTTGTTATCTTAATGTAGTTTCGAACCCAAACACGTTTACCGGCAAAATCAGCTGCTAACTCTGAATGTTTATGTTTTGATTTTTTTTTTTTGCTTTTTTTTTTACGATTGTAAACTAAAACCAGTTTTAAAGCTTTAAGCTTTGATTTGTTTATTGGCCAATAAATGGGTGAATATATGATTATAGTTATTCAAAATATATTTTCATTAATTTCTCTTGGTTAAGCGAAGTTTTAAGCCCTCTTTGGTAACCAGAACCGGAGCAGCATCGAAAGCAAACTCGACTTCCTTTCTGGGAGACTGTATCACATTGAAGTTGGCCAGAACCTTGGCTACTGCCACTTTGGAGTTGATCTTGCCCATGCGAAGGGCTAAAATAAATAATTTAGAAAACATATTTATGACCGATGTAAGTAATCCTTACCAATGCAGTGCCTAGGACCTTCTCCAAATGGCATATAGGCCGCTTGATTGTAGTTCATAATATCAGTATCAAACCGATGAGGATCGTAATCGTTGGGATTGGGAAAGTAAATCGGATCACGATTTATACCAAACAGAGAGATCAATATGGGTGTGCCCTTGGTTATAACATGATTCGTACCAGGAACCGAATAATCCTCAGTACACTCGCGATTTAAGAAGGGTAAGCCCGGATATTTACGAATAGTTTCTGGGAAAAAAAAGTCCTATAGAAACCTTAAAAAAAGACAACTGGATACTAACCCATTATGCAGAGCTCCAAAAACTTCATGTCCTGAATAGCTTCATAGGTGAACTTATCCTTTGGTTTCAGGTTGTGCTTTTTAAGGACTCCATCCACCTCTTCCCGGGCTTCTTTTAGTAATTCCGGATACATGGATAGTTCGTAGAGGGTAAAGGCAGATGCAGCTGCTGTAGATTCCGAGCCGGCAACATAGAAAAGAAACGCCTGGGCGGCAATCTTCTCGATAGACATCGATTTTAGCTGATCTTGAGCGGATTCCACATCCCAGACCTCGTCGTCATCCTCGCCAATTTTTCCCGTATTTCGCAAACGGATAAGCAACTGCAGCAGGTCCTTGCGAACCACATTGTTCTTCTCCCGGAACTCGATCGTCCGCTTCATCATGTCCCTTAATAGCGTAAGGATACGGCTCTCATAGCCCAGGCGATTCATTAGCTTTGCAATTCTACAAAAAACTTGATTAAAAATAAATCAATATATAAGAAAATTAGTATTTACGGCGGACAGATGAACATGGACATGTTATGGATCTTCAGTAAAAGCGATTTGTCCTTAGAAGTCGAACTGCTAATCTCCCGAAATTCATTTTGTGGATTCTTGAAACTGTCGATCTCCAGACCAAAAATAACTGAACCAATTATGTCCACTGCATAGGTGGTCATCACCTCCTTGATCTCCACCTCATCGTTTTGCTCAAGGGCACCCTCTAAATGTTGCACCAGCTTGTCGCCCACATCGTCTATGGTTCCAAACATTCCCTTGATTTTTCCGGAAGAGAATGAAGGTGTCAGCTTCTGGCGAAGATTCCGCCAAGAAGCTCCCCTCAAATTGAATAGGTTACAGGACAACGGGTCCTTCTCCTCGTCCACATAAACTCCGCGATCGTGAAAGCTGGAAAAATCGGTGGTCATGATTTGACGCGCCAAGACAGCATCCCGGATTAGGATGCTCCGTTTGTTCATCATGTAGATGCCCACAATCTTTTCCATGTGCCGGTCGTATATATCTTTCAAGACCACGCCCAAGCTCTTCTCCTGCTTCATTACCGAGGTCATAATGCCAAAAGGAATCTGGGCCGGCTCCTCGTCCACGCCCAATCTCTTCCAGGATGTGTAGTGATGTCGCACATACTTGTACAGCAATACCAGGCACAGGAGCAGCAAAGGAATAATCCACATTTTAACTTTTTCGTTTCTGTAAAATATATATTACTGTTCCTGGTGAAATTTTTGCGATGCAATAGACCCTACGCTGGAGACTGAAAACGCCGAATGTGTTTCGGCTTATATGTGTGGATTTTGTATACAGTCCGATCCGATAAGCGTTTTCTATGTTTCTTGCTTGGGTGCCGTGAGGGTTCTCTTACAGCTGAGAACTTTACTTGACGTCTGGAAGAAGCTTTCGGCTCTCCAGGAATTATAGAAATAATATAAAGAGTACTTTTAGGGAAACCACCTGTTAGTCGCTTCATTAATCAACAAACATTTTCGTTTTTAATTGCTTATTAAAATTTATTGATTTCCTTTTGGTTCTTCTTTACTTTGAGGAAGCCACTGAATGTTGTCTTCAACGTCGTCTCTTCGCAGCCGGAAGAATGTCCTCTTGTACCAGCTGAGGGTAATGTATCGTCCGATGAAGCAGCCACATGAGCTACAGTAGTGGTTGATATCATGGCGCCCCTCCCAGTGAATGGGATTGCTAAAATACAATATTTGAAATTAATGCGATATGAATATATAAGGGACCAACTTTAAGGCAACCTACCAGCATAGAAGCTTGTTTAGGCAGCACACTATCTTCTGCGACAAGGTTACCGCCTCTCTAGCCACTCGGGTAACTTGTGTCTGATGGCATGCAGGACACTCCAGCTCTTGTGGTTCCGTGGTCAGGTGACCCACCTGGGGCACCGCCGATATATCATCGGCGCTGCCATCTAAACTCTCCGTGCTGGCCATTTCGAAGCGTCCGCACAACTGACTGCTCAAAAAAAAACATCCACCAATCCCCCAAAATGTATCTGTATCTGCATTTGTATCTATAACACACTCAGCTGAACACGAATGATGCGTTCGGGAGCATGATTCTAAGAACAATCAAACCTAAGAGCATGCCAGAGAGAGTATTATATATTTTGGAGACACCGCCTTGCCGATCATCGAATAAATTTCAAGTAACTTATTAAAAAATTTGACAACAGCTGCTAGTTTATTTATAGATCAGTTTTGCGAACATGGTGACGAACCACTAGACTGGACGCCAGTGGAAGCCCAAGTGGCCGCCGCATTTGCTGCAAAAAGCGCGTTTCGTTTTCAGGCGTCCCTGCAGGCAGCTGTAGTAGACACAGGCCAGGGCAAAGAAAGGAAAGCAACTGAAAAGATCAACATAAATTAATAATTTTATCAAATGGTCTTGAATTGGTGGGTCTTACAGAGATAGAGTCGAGAGCACGCAGGTTAGTTGACTGATACATCCTCCCATATCAAGGGTTTCGATTTTGGCATTTTTTTGGCACAAAGGACACCGCACCTGGGAGGAATTAGGCCCGATGCTGAAGAATCGAATCTTGGGCTTTCCAGGCCGCTCCTCCAAAGTGGCCGTGGTGGCCACCGAATTGTTGTCCCCCCCTTGGACATTCACCTCCAGATCCGCATCGAAGTTGATCGCGCGAGACATTGCGACTGTTTGAGAATTATTTTCGGGTAGTCAACTGACAGGCAAAACCCACGAAAAAGAGAAATATTTCACCAAAAAATAACAAAAACCAAATTTAATTTAAGAGAAAAATTAGGAGAGTAATGCAAAAAATAACAAATATTCGCAAATTTTTGGTGGCTCTTCAGTCTCAGTGCTCATCACTCGCCACAAGGCCAACAACAAAAAAGTGATTAAAAAACTAAACAAAATAAACAATTAATTGTGAAGCACCCACTTCGTGTGCCCAGCTTCCCCACCCCTCGTCGCTTTGTCATTGTCTCTTCCATGCCCCCAGGAGGTAACCACATTTGCCGCAGATGACCTTGCAATCGTTTCTGGATTTCCTTGGACAGCAGGGATAAAGTGGTAGCAGAGAAAAGCAGCTGTAAGTTATAAAAAAAATATTTATTATTATTATTATTATTTATTTATCACAGTAGGCTTTTAGAATATTTAACACAAAAATGTACATCCACTTACCACATGGTCAGCAACCGCTCTAGCCGGACTCCCTGCTCGTGCAACCGCTCGTGGCACTCCGGGCAGTACATTTGGCGCAGGCAACTGATGTTGGTGGCCGCCGGTGGCGGTGGGGACACCTTCTCCGCCAGCTGGCCCGTGGAGTTGGACTTGCGACAGAAGTAGGTTTCCGGCTCCGAGTCCTCGGCATACCCGTAAGGATAGCCCCGGTGCGGTGGCGTGGCGAGGAGTAACGTGTCCAGGGCCTGGGCTGACTTCTGCTTAGCCTGGCCGCAGTTGGGATTCAGATTAATCTCCACGAGGTCGGTAGGGAACGCCTCCTCCTCCGGAGCTTGGATGTGAAACTTCAGCTGCCGGCTCATGTTGTTGAACTGACTCGACTCGGGTTTTCTATTTGCCTATAAATTGGGTTATTTTACAATTGAAATATTCAAAGCATAGAAAACATTAGACAAACAGTTATGTCTGGCCAGGTGGGGGAGTCAGTTGGCAGCGGAGGGAGGTATTTGCCAAACCTGTTGTTCATCTGTTTTGTCAAGCCTCCGAGTAATTTATTTGGCTAACACTATTTTCATGGCTAAGATGTTAACGGCTGCACTTGAACGCCAGGCCAATGGGAAAAGCTTTCAAAAGCTACCACCGAGTGGGTGGTATAGCTTTGCTATAAAAATTATTGAGGAAATATAGCAAAGAAATATAATTCACCTTTCATGAATAAATTAATGATTATTCAAAGATTTAACAATAGTATCCAGTTAGGATATTAAGATGATATTAATGTTTTTTTAATCTCTTTGGTCTTCAAGGGATAATTAGTTAGGCAAAACCGAGCTATTAAAACTTATTACTACTTATTATTATACAGAATAAAAAAAAAATGTACCTCCACATACCAGCCGAGAACTCTACCACTTCTCGTGCGAACTAGTACGTTTCAGCAGACTCCAACGGTGGAACCTGCCTTAGAAAGACTTTGGTTTGAATAAGATGTCCCTTCTATGCACTGAATAATCATTGCTTTACTTTTGGCCTCCAATGAACTGCATTTTATCATGTTAAAGAAAATTACATTCAAAAATAATTTTCATATATTTTGTAAAATTAAGAAATATAAAACAATTCAAAATACCTTAAAAACAGGTGCTTTAATAAAAAGCCATTTTAAAACAGTTGCTATTATGAAAGTTTCTGATATGAGCCGAATAAATAATTTACGTTTAATAAGGCCTAGACAAATATAGGCACATACTTATATTAAAATGAGAGAATCTCACTTGCAGAAATTCTCTCTCAATTGGTTCGACCAGCTTGTGTTTAATAATTGATTTTAGCCGTCAAGTGTCATAATAGAAAATAATACCAAATATTACTCATCAGCTATCAAATAGGTGAATCACCTGCCACATATTCGCCAAAGAAGCATTGTTGAAATGGAGTTCACTAAATCAAGTGTGCAATAAAAGCGTTATCCGTTTATGAAGGCGGCTGAAAGCCCCTTTTGTGTGAGTGTTGTCGGAGCGATAAGATAGTGGCTGGGTTTTAAGGTATTGCCATAGCTCTACTTTCCACTTGATGTTCAGTGCAACGCCAGCCAGCAAAGCGATCGGTTTTGTTCGTCTCATTTCCGTGAATCTGTAACTCCGTAATCATGGACAGCAAGCAGCCTCCGCCGTACAGCGAGCAGCCTGGATTTACCCCAGCACAGACTTATCAGGGGCCGGGAGGCCCCACCCAGCCTCCACTCTACCCACCGATGCCCCAGCCGCCTCAGTCCTCTACGGTGATCATCCAAACCACGACCACCTCCAACTTGGTGCCCATCGGCAGCGGTCCGACCCGCATCCGATGCCCCTCCTGCCATGCCGAAGTTTTGACCACCGTTAAGAGCAATCCTTCTGGCAGGACACATTGCTGGGCCCTCATCCTGTGCCTGTTCATGTGAGTATTTCCATCCCCTCAAAAGTGACTCATTATTTGTTTGCTAATGGCGGCTGCTCTTACTGAACAAAAGCTTGAAGACGTATGAGTTCATGGTAGTTATTAGTTATGGGGGAAAAATACAGGTTATAAAAAAGAACTACTCAAAATTGAACTGAAACACTTAGATTCTAGAATATCTAACATGATAACGATAACATCTTTGAAAACTGCAAGTATATAAAAACAGATAAGAACAGGAACTTGTTAAATAGATAACTATTTTTTATAGGACAGGAAGATAGTTATTAACATGATAATATCAAGGCTTAACCTTTCCACCCCAACAAATAAATAAATAGTTTCTTTTATTATCTAAAACTTATATAAACTCTTTAATAGTTGTGTATTACAATAAGTCGACACCCTGCAATCAATGTAAAAATAGCTCCGCCCATGCAAAAACAGTAGGAAGCTCAGTTATCGCCAGAAAGAACAACAAGTTTCTATATGCACGTATATATAAATATATGTACATTATTGCCTGATTACTTGAAAACATTGTTATCTCAACTGGAACTGGAGTTGAGTCAGATAACAAAACACCGATGGGGCTGAAAAGTAGCAAAAAAGTAAAGTGAGAATGTCGATCTGGTAACAGAGAGTGGGATGTGGCCAATACGAATTAGTGCCGCAATTAGAACCCTTTAGACTAATGAGTTAATTCCCCAAAACCCAAATCTAATCAATCTCCACAATCTATATTTTTTCAACCCACAGTTGCTGGCCTTGTGTGTGTCTGCCGTATTGTATGGACTCCTGCCAGAATGCCGACCACTACTGTCCCAATTGCAGCGCTTATATTGGAACCTACGAAAACTGACGAAAAACTGAAATAAACATATGTAGGCCTCAAGTGCCTTTACCTTTAACCTTTATGTCATAGCATTAGCATTATTCTTAAAACATGTTTTGTAAATATACAGTCCCATCACACTCAAAACATGGAACTTTACTCCGGAAAAGGGATAGACGATATTTTTTTAGATTAATACTTTATGAGGGCTAATCAGTCAAATGGATCGAAAAACATTAAAGCCATAAATCTAGTTGATTTGGCATTCCAATTAGTCTACTCTACAAGTAGCTTTTCCCTATTGTATGGATCTACCGGGAGGTGTCAAAATCAATCTTTGTACAGCCATATCGCCAGTTAATAAGGTTTGAAATGTTTTTACCTGGAAAAAAAATTTAACCTGTCGATTAGTTGAAAGAGATAACAAAACGCGATAGAACTTTGGTGTCATTAAGTGGCCATGAGCTTCAGTGCATGTCACACCGTAAGCATGAACACCTCAGCTCCAGACCCAGGAGGAAATGCCCCACCTTTGGAGGGTGGTTTGGTGGTGACCCAGATACCTATTTATACCCTTAATGGCGTCGGGCCCGGTGCAATACCGCTGACAGTTGGTTGTCAGTCGATGAGGGTCCGGTGTCCATCCTGCAAGGGTGAAGTGGACACCAGCTTGTTGACCGCTCCCACTCGGAAGACCCATCTGTGCGCCATGACCTTGTACATTTGCTGGTGAGTGGATAGACCCGGTGTTCCTGTTTGCATACAAATCTAATTTACTTATTTTGATTCATTGTTAGCTGTTGGCCATTCGTGTGCTTACCGTACTTTATAAATTACTGCAAGAATGTCCAACACTACTGCCCCAATTGTGGCCACTTTATCGGAAGTTACTCTTTTTGATTTTCGTTGATTGCCTCTCGAAATTTACCTTAAACTTAATTAATACAAAAGCTATGCTAAAACAGTCTTTTTTTATTGTTTGTTTATGTAGTACGTCGTATGTATGTATGTATCTTTTAGTGCTGGGAATCCCCGGTAGAAGTGATGGCACTGCTCGCCATTTTGTAATATAAATATTGGAGCCGCTTGTAAAAAAAGGTGCTACATTAACCGATTGTATTTTAAAGTATAAAAGTTATATATTGTGGTACAGATATGATACCACATTTCTTTAGCGACTGTATATATAAAGATAAGGTTTTGGAATTGATAAAGCTTCGACTTACTACATATACAGGTAATCGATACAATCGGTTCGTTTCTCCCATCACAGGCGATCGTATTGCCGTCTCGTTCAACAGAAAAATAAATAGAAAAGCACATGCACTTTTTGAGCTTTTCGTAATTCATTTGCGGCTATTCGAGGAGGAAACTTGGGACTGCGTCAATGCAGTAGCTAGGTGTTGATATTCAAATTAATTCCAGATAAGAATGGACTACCAGCGAGTGGGCGAGGCATCGCCTCCATCATATTCAGAGGCCTCACCCTCGGCTCCACCGCCAGAAATGGACATGGTCCACTGTGACTCCATGCCGGCGAAGCACCTTTATCCCCCGGTTCCACCGTACCAGCAGGTAACACCTTATCAACCAGTGCCCCAAATGCCACCACCACCGCCACAAGCCCCAGTCCCAGTTCCAGTTAACGTGGTGCATCACACGACCACTGTACTGGTGGACAATCCCGGGCAGGGAATGATCTGCCCAAAGTGCAGCGCCCGGATTCGCGTTCGCACGGAGCACCATGCCACTGGAAAGACTTATTGTTTGGCAGCCCTGCTCTGCCTGTGCTTGTAAGTAAAACCTACAAAGAAAATTATTTTCCAATGAATTTATTTAGTTGGAAATGAAAGCCTTAAGCTTATCTATATTTGAACATAGCGCAACTGTTTACAAAAATATGATGACTAAGAGCGAAAAGGGCTTTATAAACAATTCTGACCGTTTTTCTCTTCCTCCAGCTGCTGGCCATGCGTATGTGTTCCATGCTGCTGCAACTGTTGCTACAAAACCAGCCAGTTCTGCCCCAACTGCAACGCCTGCCTCGGAACATTCTAAAGACTCACATTACAATCATCATAACAATAATTGGATACTGGAAGATATATACATTATCTTATAACGACATACATAGAACATACATAACGACAGCATAAACATACATAGAATCTTATGTATCTTAACGTACGACTTTTAATGAAAACGAAGTATTAAATGCAAATAAAGATATTCATACCAAGACATTTCTGGGAATCCCCTTTACTGAAATTGCATTGCTATGCATTTTTGTATTTTATTACAAACAAAGCAGTAGGGCTTAATTCCTTTTAAAATCACAAAAAGATGGAATCGCGTCATTTTTTTTTTCTAATGAGGTATTTTATTTAATAGTTTTTTCTCATTGAAATACAAAATAAAATAAATTTGTATAATTCAGTAAATAAAAGTCACTTTGAAAAAAGCATCTGCAAACCATGTTGCTGACACATCATTTGAAATGAATTTCTTAAGAATATTTTTGTTTCCTGGCACAAATAAATAAAATATTTCAATCATATTTAAAATATTGCAATAAAAGGCTACCTTTTTTCTTATAATATTATTACACATATCATCGTAGGTATGTATGTTTGAAATGTATATTCTTTTTGCAATTGCAAACGCCAGCAACATTTTTGTAGCAGCCTTGTTGCTGCAACATTTGATAGCAACATTAGTCCACTTTTTGCCCTGGCCAGGAAAAAAGACCACAATACCTTCCCGTTCCTTTAGCAGTTAACAACACGTATCGGTTATTCTGGTGCTTCTTCAGTAACACGGGCTGTAAGTAGTGATTCAGTAATACTGACGACAGGAAGCGCCAATTTTATTATAGGGCATTGAAATAAGAATTAGATAAAAAAAAGGGAGATATATTGCAAGCAATTGGTATTTATTGAGTCTTAATCCCCATATCTCCTATAGAATTTTACAGCAAGATGTCCACTGCCGTCGGCCCAGAACCCACTACTGTGGTATGTCCTAATTGCCAGCTTCAAGTGACCACACGAACGGAGCCAAAAGCTACGACAAAAACGCACTTGTTTGCCCTAATCATGTGCCTTACCTGGTGAGACTTTCTATTATTTTTTTGTTTTCACTTGTTGCATTAGACAGTGTTACTCTTACAGCCTCTGGCCCTGTGCTTGCTGCCTTTACTGCACGGATTGCGCCCGGAGCACCACTCATTTCTGTCCATCTTGCAACAACTACGTGGGAACCTATGATCGCTAACGCCTGATGATTTTTACCTTTAAACTTAATTTTATTCGATTCAAATTATCATTAAATACCATTTTCTAAACTCTTCTGTGTATTTAATATTAATGTATGCTTTCCAAGAACTGCGAATAGTTTGCACAGATATGTTAGATAAAATTTAGACAGAAATCACCCTCAGTTTACCATTTTATATTCACTTGCATGGTGACATCATACAGTTTGCACTGTGAAAGTCAACAGAATAAAAAGGAAAGGGCAGTTATAACCCAGTGTTTCAACCATCCATATACCTTAAGTTGATAGTTTTTTTTTTTTAATTTTAAGGTTTTTGAGAAATAAAACTTCTCTTAGACAACTTGTTATACTTGTTTTAGGCATTTAAAATATCGATTTGTCTAGTTAAAGTTTAATAAAAATGATTAGGTATTTTGTTCTATAAAATCCCATACCCTATATTCCCATAAAAAATAGCCACATACCGGGCTTAGCCAGTCATCGGAGATAAGTTTGTGAACATGGGGAATGTCCAATTAAATTTCCAAGCTCACTATTCTTTTAATGGCCAAAATACACGCTAAGTTGAAAGGTAGTTTTTAAAAACATGTCACAAAGCTTTATAACAAAAAAATACATTTTTTCGTTACTAAATTAGTTGAAAATTTCATTAATATTATGTCCAACTAAGAAGAAAAATAATATCAATAAACTTTATGATATCCTAAATACCAATTATACTTATTATTCTATGGAGCGCATACTATTTATTTCGTAAATTTGAGTGATTTTCAATTGTAAGTCATTAGGTGAAATGGGATGAATATAGTTAAAGGTCTTCTAGCTGCCGACTATAAATAAAGGTAACAGAAGTGTCCAAGTTACATCAGCTATAGAAATGGATAAAAAAGAAACTGAATTTCTATCTTTAGAAGGTCTGGGAGCTAAGTCATCCCCGGTTGCTCAGCAGAACCCCAGTCTTGTGGTTATAAACCCAAGTGGTAAGTAGAAAAAGTATACATATTTTGGATACATATCTAGATTCTAGAATTATCTATATTTTTACAGTCCCTATTCCAATACAACTGGGTCCTGTTAGCCAAATACTAAAATGTCCTTATTGTGAAATCATGATGGAATCCCGAATCGAAAAACGGATAACTAAACAAACCCATTTGTTTGCACTGGCACTATGCCTAACAGGGTATGCTTTTTAAAGAATGTACTAATCTTTGTTTAAGTATTAATCTTTTTTTTCAGACTGATATGTCTTGTTCCCCTACCTTATTGCCTAAAAAGCTGCCAGAGTGCAGATCATTTTTGCAGTCAATGCAATAGATTCCTGGGAGCGGCAAATTTTTGAATTTCTTTATAAAATTAGTTGAATGCACCTATATCTTTACATATTTTTACTATTTTTACCAAACACAAATAAATAGTTACTCACACGTCTGGAGAACGCCATCTAAACATTGTTTTAAGCAAAAAGAATGTGGAGGTTTGACGAGAAAAAATATATATATGGTACATATATTGTTCATATTATTTTTATTTTATTTATACAAAAATTCTGGATGAGTATGGGTATGAGTGCCAAAAAAGAAGCTATGATTAAAAATTTGACACATTGTTCATGAAACATTTTCTGCGCGGTTTCTTGGCTAGTATTGAAGTAGATAATTCGCAGTTTTATAGCAGAGCTTAAATGGGTTGCACACCGAAAAGAGCATAATAATTTAAAAAAAAATGGACCAATTTCCTCCAGCATACAACCCAGGATGGGATCCTTCAACTGCAGCACCACAACCTTAACAGGTTCTCGTCCAAGGTAACATTTTAGCAAGATTGGACTGACTTGTTTTGGGAACAGCGTTATAACTTCACCAATTTTCATAATTTTCTAATGAAATGTCTCGTTTTATTTAGATTTAACGAGACAATATTGATATGTATCAAAATTGATACCATTTTTTGAAAGTTGTACCGAAAAAATGGCGTCACAGTCCGAAAAACACGACAAAAATTTAAAAATGTCAGTTTCTTGCGTAAAGATCTATTTTTTTCAAAAGCTAAAACATTTAACTATTAAAAAACGTAAAAAATTTTAAAATCAACAATTTCTACTAGGTCTCTTCAAAAGTTCCAAATCACTGTCGCACTGTGTAATCAGTGGAGCATCCGGAAAAACATAAAACAGTCGTTTAGTTAACAAATTGATGTGTCATATTTCTAGTCAAATAATTCAGATTTTGGGGAAAAAAAAAGATTTTTACTAGGAATATTTAGTACTTTAATGTGCTTATGACGCAATTCAATGGCCTATGTATGCTATATAAATATAATATTCATATAAAATAAAACTTGGAGATTGTATGAGTACCAAAAAAGGAGCTACGATAAAAAATTTGGCACAATACAATCATAGAACATTTTCTGCGCTGTTTCTTAGCTTGTAGTTGAGTTATAAGATCTTAGTCTTGTGGCAGAGTTTGATGGGGTTGTACAGCAAAAAGAGTCAGCTAAATAATAATAAAAAATGAACCAAAACCCAGTACCCAACAATGGATGGGGTCCTCCAATGGCAGCAACACAACCACAACAGGTTGTCGTTCAAGGATGGGGTGTTCCAACTGCATCACCACAACCCCAACAAGTTGTCATCCAAGGTAAAAAATTAAATGTATAAAAACCGAATTGTAAATATTTAAGAAAAATTCTAATTACGTGCAGCACCACCGACAAATGTGTTGGGCAACAAGCCAAGTATGGTCACCTGCCCGAGTTGTGAAGCTCGTCAAACAACTAGGGTCAGGTACGAAGTAAGTTCGAAGACTCATCAAACAGCGTTGTTGATCTGTATATTGTGTGGATGGTGTTGTTGCTTCCTTTTTCCATATTGCATGAAATCCTTCAAATCGACCATTCATACCTGCGGAAAGTGTGGATGTTATATCGGGACATTCACCAAATAAAAGACAAGTCATTTGATTTTCACTAAAAGTTTCAGTAATGTTTTTTATAATATCCTTTCATAAAAATGTATTTACTTGCATATTGTTAAAAATTTAAACCTTTAATAAACAGTGGAAGTAATAGAAAATATATAAAACAATTATCATTTAATCCATTAAACTAATCCAGAATTTTATTGTTTAAAAAAATTGGTATAAAAATCGATGTGTTTTATTTCGTATACAATTGTTTCGTTGTTAATTTGTCTCAGCAATATATGAGCTAAGGCAAAAAACGATTGATAAGAGCCCTAGCTTATCATCAGAGCTAGACTCGGATGTGTGTTTCGGGAGATTGCATCAAGTTTCGGGATTGCTCAGCTTAGTAATACTGAGACCAGAAAGGGAGATAGAGATGACAGGCAACTACGGAGTGCCAGGAAAAAGCCGATCGCCGGAAGTATACAAAACCTTGACTGAACCGGGAACAGTAAGTCCATCGGATAAGCCAAAAAGAAATTCTTCAGCGGGATCACTCATCTCGAACGACCTGCAAATTTCTTGGTATCACAAAATTTGGTTTAATTTGCGGTAATTTATTTATATTTTTACTAAAAAGAGAAAATTGGTTGAGATTTGTTTACGTTGCAGATCGCTTTTTGATTGTGGAGCTCGATGATTATTGATGGGGATCCAATAACCCAGAGATTATTTATATTCAGCAGAATCTCATCATTAAATTCTTATATTAAATACAATGACTCATAAATAAAATGAAATTTCTTTTGAAATTCGAAGTTTTTTCTTTTTAATGAAAACCGTTTTTTTTTTAAATATACATTACATACATATACATTAATGTCTTCAAGTCTCGTTATCAATATTTATGACATATACGCAATAAAATTTATTCAAGCTGTGTACTCTAATCTAGAGTCGTTTTTTTGTAACATTTTTCGGAATAAGCATTTATCGTGCATATTGTTCTTGGAAATATGTGGTTTTTGGAAATATGTGGTTAGTTCGTTTTTAGTTTTAATCAAAACTGATCCATCTTTTAGATTCCCCTCCTCATGCAGAACCGACTAATTTTTGTAATGATGAATATTGATATTTTTTCGAACGAGGTTTTATCTTTTCTTTAAGTGTTTTATGATAAACAAGGGGAACGATTGTAATTTAATAGCCTCAAGAATGCAGAAAAAGCGTTTATTAACCCCTTGACGTATTTCCACGATTCTGACTCGTGTTACAATTTCTGTGTCTAACATCCGTTATATATAGTTTCGTTATATGTATAATAATAAAAAAAAAATTAGTTGATGTCGTGCACAACATCTTAAATAAATAGTTTTATTACATTTCGTTTTGCAGCCTTTTGTAAGCATCAAAATCATTTTGTTTCGTGAAAGTTGTGTGCGAACAGTTAGAAACGAATTTCGTTGCGCTTACTGATACGGGGTTGAGCTTTCCTTAATTGCCAATTTTATGGATAAGTAGAAGGATTTATAAACAAGCCTAGAAAAATTTTAAATTAGTGGTATCTCAAGTGTTATGTGGTTGATTCTAATATTTTATGGCTGCTTGGCGGTCGGCACTGAAGCCCAATCGGGGAAAATAACTGCGGTATGTTTGAAATAGATTTTCGAAATGCATAATTCAGCGAACTATTCCTTAAAGGTAAGTATCATTAAAGGGCACAACTACCCAGTGGAATCTCACTATACGCGAACCAGAGATGATTATATTCTCCAAGCCTTTCGGATTCCAAACTCCGCCTCTTGCCGACGTCCAGGAACGAAGCCGGTTGTTCTATTTCTTCATGGGATGACTGCCTCGGCAGACACTTTCTTGCTGAATGGACCCAAGGATGGACTGCCCTATATGTTGGCTGATGCCTGTTATGACGTCTGGCTGGCCAACTTCCGAGGCACGCGTTACTCCCGACTCCATGCATACCTGAATCCGAACAAAAATGAATTTTGGAGATTCAGTTTTCACGAGCTCGGAGTGGAGGACCTGGCCACCTTTATAGATTATATTCTGCAATTAACCAATGAAAAGACAGTCAATGTGGTAGCTCATTCCCAGGGATGCACTACGTTTCTGGTTCTACTATCCATGAGGCCGGAGTACAATGAGAAAGTCAAGACAGCGATCCTGATGGCTCCGGCGGCATTTATGGAGCACACCTCGACCCTGGGACAGACGGTCTTTCGGCCGTATATAATGGTGTCGCCGGACAGCGAGTTCCTGCAACACAGCAAATTAAGGAGCCATATCATGCCCACCGTTTGCCGACTGGGAAGCTGGTCCGTATGCAACTTATATTTGTTCTTAAACGGAAGGCCATCAAGTCACTTTAATACCGTAAGATGCCATTTACTTGTTAGACTAGATCCTAAGCCTTCTCTCTATACAGAGTGTCTACCCTTCGCTATTGGCCACCCATCCGGCGGGCATTTCCACCCGCCAACCCAGGCACTTCATACAGCTTACGGATTCCGGAAAGTTTCGCCAATATGACTACGGTCGTGTTAAAAACCTAATTGTCTATGGCCAGAAGTCCCCTCCGGACTATAAGCTATATAATGTCCAGCCGCTGTCCCCAGTACATATTTTTTACAGCGACGACGATTCGTCCGTCAATGCCACGGACGTCCGGTTTTTGGGCAGTAAGTTGACGTCGGTGGTGATGAATCGCATCACCAAGCCCACGTGGCACCACTTGGACTTTATATTTGCTATTACTGTGGCCCAAGATATAAATAAGCCAATTATTCAAATACTTGACAAATTTTCATCAAAATAGTCCCAAAATTTTGTAAACATTGAATTTTATTTTTAAAAGTAAATACAATACTTTAAAATGCCAATATGGTAGGTGCATGTTCTCGATAATTGAATTCTATTTAAATATTTGACTTTAAAACTTGATTTAAACTATGGGGAATAATAGGCCTACAACTGAAATGAAATGCTTTAATCTAATTATTCATGGAAATGGCTTAAATTGAAGTATGTAGAGGAGTAGATTAATGAAGCTGCCTTCTCGGCGTTCAATTAGAAAATCACGATACAAAATTCCATAAGTCTCCACAGGATATTGTAAAACACCCTTATGGCGTTGTCCTTCAAAAGAACTAACCACTGTAATCTATTTTGGGACACATTCTTGTAAATGCCGTTTTCATTAAAGTTTTCCATAGAAAACCATACGGGGAGCACCAAGGATGGTTACCATATATGCTCGAGGTGTTTCGCATTTCCGACTCCCACAAATCTCATGAGAGGAAAGCCAAGAAAGTGTTTTTTTTCATGGATGTGGACGCTTTTCTGCATTCTGCGTATGGATGGGGAACACCTGCGGCAGCCGATATTCGCAACGCCAACCCCCACCTGGCCATTAACGATACTGAGTACTTGTAAGTCATCCACTGGATCCACTGGATATCTAGATATATACATTCACTTGCTAAGATAAGTTCATACGAAAGTTAAAAACAAAGCTTTCGTTCAAAAAGAGCTTTTGGCTAAATTGTTTGTAGCCACAATACAAAGTACGAATACGAAACGTTCGAGTATCTGTCTGAGATTCAGTTAGTCATCAGCTCGCAAACGAAGATGCAGTACAATCAACCGCCTCCGGGTTCTACGAGTTATCCGTATCCGGCACCACCGCCGAGTTACGAGCAGGTGGTGCACGTCCAGGCTCCAGTGAGAGTGGTTCATGCAGGTCAACCGCCACCAGTGGTCATCATACAACGTAGGTTTTGGGGGTTACGATTTGGTTTCATATATTTATATAAAGACTTTCGCGATTTCTTCAGATCAAACTGCACCGCCTGTGGGTCCAGATCCCTCTTTCATCACCTGCCCCCACTGCCACGTCCAGAAATTGACCCGGGTGGAGTATGCTCCAAGTGTGAAAACCCATTGCATGGCCGCCCTCCTTTGCATCGTTGGGTAAGAGACTCGGAAGATCTAATTATATTTCTCTGCCTTATCTAATCTCAACCTTTGGGAAATGCCTCAAACAGTCTTTGGTGTTTCGCCTGTCTACCCTACTGCGCCACCAGCTGCATGAACGCCAACCACTTTTGCGGCAACTGCAACAAGTTCGTGGGCGTCTATAGTAGTGATTAGGCCCGGAACGAAAATAAACAAACAAGAAACAGTCGGACCCCAAACAAAACGAGGCAAATCGAACCGATCGAACACCCCCATCGGAAATCATTGGGAAAGCGAACATTTTTGTCCAGGTGTGAACAGTCGGCGACGGCGACAACGACGACGAGAAAGATATTCCCCGGCAGGGTCGGAAAGCTTTTGGGTTTTGTATTGATAACGAAGCCAGATACTAGACACACTTTTTTTCCACCGCGTTCCCTTGAGTCATTCACGAAAACACACCCAGAACCGCAATATGGAGCGTGTCTATCCGGCTACACCCCTGGAAGCGCCCAAGGGATCCGGGGAGGTGGAGTCGCCACCGGAACACCAGCAGCTCTTGTCACCGCCAGCTCCACCGAGTTACGATCAAGCCACTGGCATACCGGCGGAGACAACCGGACCTACGCCCAAGCCGGTAACAACAACAACCACACATCATACAGTGGTGGTGGTGCCCAGTTCGCCTTACGGCCCGGAGCCCATGGACGTTCAGTGCCCCCACTGCCATAACTACGCCCGGACCCGTATATCCTACAAGCCCAGTTCGCGCACCCATTTGATTGCCCTGATTCTGTGCCTGTTCCAGTAAGTGTGCTGTCCAATGTGGGTGGTTTCCGTGACTCAGTTTTTCTTGCTTATCGAACCACAGGTTGTACTGCTGCGTGTGCCTCCCCTACTGCATATCAAGTTGCATGAACACGAATCACTACTGTGGCATGTGCGATCGCTACCTGGGCACCTATAATCGCAAGTGATTTGCCGGATTTGAGGGGGGTTCTGACTCGTTCTTTCTGTTCATTTTTATGCGTTTGTGTTACTGAATTAAACTACGAGTGTCCCTAGCTCAAAGTTTAATTTATTTTTATCCCAAACTTTGTTACATTCATATCGTATATAATGGAATAACTTAAAAGCATTTGCTGTTTTGAAATTGCAGACTTTACCTGCAATGTGAATAAATAAACAAGTTTATTACTTAATTAATCAAAGCTCTTTTCGTAGATTAAAGTATGGTTCCGTAGGAGGTGTATATTTTACGCATTACTTTTTTAAGAACTGACGTTATTTATTCTACTTTTAAAAAGATAAGTTATTATCTGCAGAAAGATATATTTTTACGGACATCCTCTTGTACGTGAAGATAAGCTGGATAAACAATCTTTGGCATTGTGGGCATTAGATAAAGCTTTCGGTACACACAATCCGAGAGATACTTTTGGTTTTGCAACGGCCCAAAAAAGATTGCCCAACCGAGGGAGGAGAGCTTGGAAGCTCGCTCCGATCCGAGCCAAAATACAAATCTGAGTACGTATCTGAACCTGAATCCAATTCCGCTGACAGTTGAGAGAGGTAAGCGGAGCTAAAGACACGCCGTCGAGTTGCAAATGCGCAAAGTAAACAAAATTAATTGCTAGACTGGAACTTGAATCTCTTACTCATTGCGATCCGAAACCTGAACTTCGTACCTGAGTGTTTTTTTAAGAATGGATCAGAAGAGGGCCATGCTGTATCCGCAGGTGGATTTCGATTCACCGAGTGCTCCTTCTCCGACACCAACAAGGGACTTGGCCAATCCGCTGGGCCATCCCGTGGAGGCTCCTCCATCGTACGATGCAGCAATAGCAATTCCTCCAGTGGTTGCCACACCAGCGATTGCCCCAACACCGCCCCAGCCAGTAATTGTTGTAACCGAACAGCCACAACCACAACCACCTACAGTGGTGCCGATTGGTGGGTATTTTAATTGGTATTTATTTTAAAAGTTAGTAGTTAGTACTTCTGACGTCACTTATTCTATTGCAGATGCTTTGAATTTGGGCCCAAATCCATGCCGTGTTACATGTCCAGCATGTGGTGCTCAGAAGACTACCAGGATGACCCATACAGCCAATTCGAGAACCCACATGGGGGCTGGGCTGCTCTGCTTGGTGGGGTAAGTCGATTTCTATTTAGGAGCTATAAAAATAAAACTTTGAAAATAATATATTTATCCTTTTTTTTAAGATGGTGCTGCTGTGCCTGTATAGTTCCTTATTGCATGAGAAGTTGCCGCACTGGAAACCACTACTGCCGTAAATGCAACACATTCTTGGGGTCATATGATCCTAAAGGAACGAAGTGATTATAAGACTGTGATAAGATGTGATCTGGGGTCTATACACAAGAGAAAATATTAGTGAGAGGCAATGCATATATAATATTAACCATTACGTAAAAAAGTTTATCTCCCTACAACCAGCTGATTTATTTGCAAATAATTAAGATACTACAGTGACTATTTACTTAAAAAATAAAAATGAACAAGAAAAACTAATAACAAGAAAATATTATGGATGACTTGAAACATAAATAGACTAAAGCAAAATGAATAAAAGCTTTGCTTTAATATTCCTAAAGATGCTGACCTCAAGTTGGCTAAAAACGAAGTGCGTGGGTGTTGGTTTAGCTCGTAACAACAATAAAACGTAAACAAAAGACTTGATATCTATTTCCGGTTTAACTTTGGCGCCAATCAAACACTATAGCTATTTACCAGCACTGTATACATGAGCCACAGGGTGTTTCGAGAAAATGAGTGTGGTATTTATCCACACTTTTATTTAAATTCATTTTAATTTACAAAAGACCCTTTAAAAATGGAAAAAAAGCAAAGAAATAGAAAGCACTTAATCAAAAATTAAATTTTTTACGATAATATTAAAATAACCAATAATGTAGCCTGCGCAATTTAACCACCAGATGGCGATAGTATTTTTAAGCCCTTACTAACACTGAACAGCGCATTCGACAACACTACATTTTTCATTGCATTTTCACAACAAAAAAACTCTCTAATTAGGCTAAAAGCAGCTGCGGTGGCACATAATAATAGTATATTAATAAGAAAATTAGCAGCACTAAGGCAGTGCAGCGCAGGAGCAGCAGCGCCAGTAGCAGCGGCCTCAAAAGGAAACCCAAAACATCCCAGCTGCAAATTCGGCCCCCGATTTCGTTTGTTTTCATCTATTATGGACAAGAAATCCTCGCCCGTGCGTCGACAAAAGCGACAGGCGAAAGTGATCGAGGAGAATTTCTGGGATTGCAGCGTATGCACTTACAGAAACTCTGCGGAGGCCTTCAAGTGCCGCATGTGCGACGTGCGGAAAGGTGAGTGACCTCGATTCCGATGCCCCGGATCCCCCGATGATTGCGTCGCGTCGCGTTCCGGTTTTCGTTTTCACCATTGGGATATGCTATGAAATTCTATAAATCTTTACTCATTGCATATAATTTTTGGCATTTTTTGGCAATATTCAAGTTAATTAAAAATATTTTATTCGCGGAATTGGAACCAGTTGGATGCTTACTGTTCTATAAAAAATTTAACAAAAAATAAACGCAAAAATCGGAACCCAATTAGCCATTACCTTGACCTCGTACTCATGCATCTTTGACCTTTTTCCAGGAACCTCCACGCGCAAGCCACGGCTGAACTCGGCGCTAGTCGCCCAGCAGGCGGCAACATTGCCGGGAGCCAGTGGCAACATGCCAAATGGAAAGTCCGCCTCCGGATCGCGACACGGTAGCGGGCACGACAGACAGAGGCATAAGAGATACCCCGCCCGATTGAAGAATGTTGACCGGTCTACGGCGCAGACGCGCGAGGTGACCGTCAACTCGGTGACCGTGTTCATCACAGAGTACAAGGCCAAGCCGGTGAGCAGCCGGCGCGAGTCCAGCGAGCAGAGCTTCAGCGAAAGCAACGACAGCCGGAGTTAGAAAAGGGAGTCCTAGTCCCCAACCAGAGCTCTTCAATATTCTACGCCACGGTCCTCGGTCCCTTGTTACAAATTGTAAATTCTAAGTGTTAGGCCCCCGGCGAAACAATTGTAAATCGAAATCCGTTTAAGTTACCAAGTATTAGGCCACGTTCAAAGACCTCTCCTTTCCAAAAAGAAGATAACTAGCCACTCCCCAAGTTCATGACTTCCAGCCCAGGCCAAGAAAGTGAAGCGACGAGTCGATTGCATTTACACGACGCTCTCCAACACACACAACTAAAAAAAATGAAAGAAAAGAAAGATACAAATCAATCTTTGAATGCGCTAAAACCCTGTATATAGCGATGCAAGAGTTCTCCAATTGTCTCTGTCTCGTATCGTAATTTTAGTTTTAATTTAATTCTACTACGTCTAATTCCTAATTTATTGATGAAAGGCAAGTATGTGTAACCGCCGTGTACATGTTCAACAAAGATATCATTTGTTTTGTAAGTGTCGAATTAAAATATGTTTTAACTAAGTGCAAGCTAATCTCAATGTTCCACTAGCAGCGCCCATCTTTACATGGTTTGTCCAACTATTATAAAATATTCTATTGTTTTTTTAGTAGAAAATGCTGCTTTACAACGAACAGAGTATCAGAGATTTAGAGCGAGGAGATGAAACAGAAGCCACGTAGCTTGGTTGTAGACAATTTGCTAATTTTAATTTGTTTGTATACAAGACTGATTAAGCGTTACCAACCAGATATACATACATACATACATACATACATACCTACCATACATATAGGCAACCCCCCCAAATACGCACCCAGCCGGAGTCGAATTTTTTATTTGGTGTTTTTTTTTTGTACCCTGGATAATATCCAAGCAAACAATAGACGAATACTCAAACTCGCAGAAAGAGAATTTTGTACTTAGTAGAGCTTAAAGGCTCTTCCACCATAGAAATAATTACTTAGCAAACAACAAAACAAAAAAAACAAGATTTTTGATATGAACGATTGTATTTAATATTGGATAAAGGACACAATGGTTTATAATGTGCTTGATATTTGTATTTTGAGATAGATTATTTAGCCACAATCCAAAAACCACACACACAAACAGGACACTGTACACCCGTATACACTCTTTCAAAACTGCCGGACTGTAGTCAAAAGTAACTTCCAATAGAACCAAACTCACCAAGGATTACCATTTACAATCAATACGAATTGTATTCCAAGTGCTTAGCCAATCGAGCATTAATCAAGAATAATAACAAATATAAAAGCTAAAACAAAAGTAATTAAAGCAACACTCACACCGACCCACACAGAGATAGTTAAAACTTGAATTCAAATTGTAAAGCATAAACTTTTAAAGCATTATAAAATACATTAAATAAATTTCAAAAACGCTATTCCAAATCTTTGTCGTTACGCTGCCTTTAAGAGATGAATTTAATTCTTTTTATTTGAACTTATCCAACTTGCTAAACTTTTGTTGCCAAGTTTTACTTTTGATTCTTTTTATGGCTGACATTCGGCTTAAAGTTTAAAGGTCTTTAAAGAGCAAAAGGAGCATACCGAGCCACTGAGCCACCCCCTGTGAATGCCAGTACATCCACCCATTTTCCAGGACCCAGGACCACCCACGCGTCGCCTTTCGCTCCCTTTGTCTCTATGTAGAGTGTTTGTGTGTGTGTGTGTGTTTTGTGTGCCATGGCTGGTTGGGTGGGGGGAGGCATCATCTGTATCTGTATCTGAGTATCTGCTTACGCGTGCTCCCAGCCTCGCTTTTCGGGCCTCAGAACAGACCCAGACCAGACCCCGCCTGAGTTTCGGTTTCAAATGCACAGAGAAAATGGGTAACAAAGCTGGAGCAAGAGCCGGAGCCGCAGCCGGAGCTAGAGCTGGAGCTCCAGCCAGTGTCTCTGGTCGATGGCTACGCCTTTGGCAGCTGCCTCAACTTTTCGCACAGAGCCGGAGCACATCGCACGCTTCGCAAATAAATTACAAATTGTTTCGTTCCAGCTCAGCTGCCACAGTTGAACTTCAATACTTTCAACCACCAATTCTTATGTTAAGGAATCTGAAAAATTGCTTTCTTATATCCTTTAGGTATTAATTTGAAAATAATGATAATCTGTTAAAATATTTTTCACTAAAGGATTTCTAGTTTATGTAATATCTAATCTGAAAACCTTTTTTCCTAGCCGTAAAAAGGATATAACTAGTTAAAAGCTATTTAAAAAAATAATCGTATCCTTTCTTATTTCAGATCCCTTAACTATTGATTTAGAATTTATGATTTTCTCTTTAAAGATTTTAGATTTTCACTGAAGTGTTCCTGGTTTTTATAGTTTCTAATCTGAAAAACTACCTCCTCATTTCAGATCCTTTAGGTTATTGGTTATCTCTAAAAATATTAAAGATTTCATAATCTTCAATAAGTTCCTAATCTAAACATCTATCTCCTCATTTCAGATCCTTTATTTATTGGGGTTTCTCTTCAAATATTAAAGATTTTAACTATAGGGCTCTAGTTTTTTGTAATTTCTTTTAGAGACACTAGTTCTTTGTTTCAGATCCTCTAAATAATGTTTCTAGTTTTTGCAGGCCCCATCTTTCTTTAAACTTCTACTTTTCCATTTGCTAATCAACTTTTTTTTCTAGTTCCATTTACATATTCCTAATTAAAGTTTCAGTTAGGTTGGCTTCACTGTGCTAACATACAGACACACAGAAGAGACCCCCAAAAGTTCTCACACCCCGTCACAGCCCTCCTACAATTCGCTTCAGACATCTAGCCTGGCGTTCGAAATTTTGCCGTTCGCATTTTCTCTAAAATGTTAAAATTCACAGGACCTCCCCGGCACCCCTCGCACCACACCCTGCATACCGTCGTTTTGCCCCACAGGCGGCAGGACCTGCGTTATCAGCGCCACACTCTCTGCGCTTATCTTCCATGTGCGCTCCATTCTTTGGCACTGTGCTTCGTCCTCCTCTGGCATTGCCGTCCTTCGTGGTCCTCCGCCTTCTTATCCGTTTGTTTGTCCGTGCTTCCGCCTCATCTGTGCGACCGTCCGCACATCCTGCGCCACCCGGCCACCCTGCCGCCCACCTCCTCGCGCCTCGTCCTTGTGTGTAGTTGAAAATTTTCGTTTTGGCGAGAAAAAAAAGCGGTGCTGCAGCATTTGGAAAATGTGGAACTCCTTGCCGATGCTACTGTTGGTGGGCGCAGAGCTCACATGGCGCATACGCCGCGTTGTCCGGCTCGAGGATCGCCTGGAAAACAAAAGGCGGAGGGGGATTACGCTGAAGGATAAATGGAGGGGCAGGCAGGCAGGATGCGGGACTGGTAATCCCAGCAAGTAACTTGAGCACTTTATGGCACAGCGCGCACGTGTATCCGAATCTGTGCAAATGTATCTCGGTGGGTGTATGTATGTGTATGGGTGTTAGATAACCTGAAAGAGGATAAGACGGCCGTGGGTGGATGGGGAATCCCTTTAAAGCCCCGCTATAGCTATAGCTCACGGTTTAAACACACTTTGGGCCTTAGCCGTTTTAATTACATTAAAAACTTTCTCCCAGCATTAAATAAATTGAAGCCGAAGATGAAGATGAGGCTGGCAGCGAACGGCGAACTTATGTCACTTTGATCCTGCCAAGTAACTTCGGGCCAACTCATGCGAAAGACAATGGGGAACTACCCCCTGCATGCCGGCCCAGTCCCCGGTAATCAACTTTAGTCTTTAAAATTGAAATTCCAGCATTAGGCACGGAATGCCAACCAACCAACGTAAAACACAATCTATCTATCCGAAAGGGGTGGCTGCCAAAGGGATTCGGTCGAGGAGGCGGCAACGGAACCCAGGATAATGGGCTGGGTAGGAAAATTCGCCACCGCTTATCTGTTTCCAATGTGCCACAGCACGTCGAATTTTATGCATCATGAAATTACTATTCATTACCCATCAGGGCATGTCAAATAAATCATAAATGATTAAAATTAAATTACGGAAATGTATTGCAAGGATGTATACAGTCCTTGGTGTTTAAAACCTACTAAACTAATCACTACTAACTAAGCTAAAGCTTTAACTGAAATCCAAATAATTTCCAACATCCCCAAAAAGCCTGACCTAAAAAACTGATTAGCCTGACACACTTGCTTCCCTTCTTGATTAAAGTTTGAAATTAAAGTTTTTCGAGAATATACGACAATCGCACTGTCACCACCGCGCCCAACCCGCCCTCTGGACGCCCTCTTAACGCCCCTGGCAGTGCCCCGTTTGGGCCGTCAGCTTCATTGTGTTTATTTCTCATGTTAAAATCAAATTCCCGCGTGTGCAATTTTTCATTTGGCCCGAGAGCCGGAGTCCGGAGTCCGGAGTCCCGAGCCCGGCGGAGAAATGAAAAGGAAGTGGAAAAATGTGTAAAGGTGCGTGTGCCGGGGAATCGCAGAGGTGTATGGATGGGTGGGTGGGTGTTTGGGGCCGGGTTAGGGAGGGTGGTGTGTGTTTTTGGGGAGGGTGGTGTGATTGCTTGGCTGGTTCTTCCGGCGTGCTGTCTGACGTCAGGTGAAGTCAGCTTAAAGAACAACTTTGCCTACAAAACTTTGGCCGCCAGCTTCAATTCTTACGCTTTTTTATACTGCTAGCTCTGAGCTGCATTTTGGGTAACATTTTCGATACCTGTCGGCATGTGTCGGGCACCCAGAGAGGTATTCCTCATTCCCCTTTTAGTTTCAACTCCAAGCCCATCTGCATCTCTTCTATGGTGCTTGGTGCTGGGTTCTGGGTTCTCGATTCCCGGTTCTTGGTTCTATATTCCTCCTCCTTGGCGCCCGCATAACTTGCGCTCTAAACAAAACAAAAATGCGTTGGCAAAGCGTAGGACCAGGGACAGACCAAAGACACCAATTGGAGGCGGAGGAACACGCGGCGGGAGGGGCGTGGCAAGGCACAAGCAAAAGCAGAGGCAGCTGGCTGCGATGACAACAGCACTGGCAACAGCAAAGGCAACGTTAGTGGAATACTCTCTCCCTAAAAGGGTTAGTTTACTTTCTTTTTAAAAATAAAAATATAATACAAAAAAGCTTTTAATAAAATATGTTTTAAGAATAGTAAATATTATTTAAAGAAATATTTTAACAAGTATAGTAGTCATAAAATAAAATTTAAAAGAAACAGGAAAGCGTATTTGTAAAAGGATCCTTCGGACCTACTAAGCCGCTCCATCCTGCTGACTGCCTGGCTGCTTGCTGGCTGGCTGAAAGGACAGCGACAGGCCGCCGAGGACGAGGACTACGGAGGGGATGAAGAAGGCGAGCTTGGGGGAGGGTGGCTGCAAGAATGGGGAATTTGAGAAACGTAAAGCGGGGCGGGGCGGGGCGGGGTGCTTGGGGCGCAGAGAGGCAGCCTGCCAGCCAGGCAGACACGACACACCAAGTGTACAATAGCTTTAAGCTTAAACTCTCGCACACTTGCACGCACACACACTCGCTTCCCCCACTCGCAAACTCGCACTCACACAGATA